AGCATATATGACCACACCGAAGAACTTGTAACTTGTAAGAAAGTAAAAGTTTTCAAAACAAGTAAAGACATTTCTATGCATGTGAACATAATGATCTTTAGTTATTGTGTTTATCTCACAAGATTTAGCATGTGTTGTAGATGAATAAAAAGACTATAGATATAAAAGTGGTCTATGTCGAAGTCAAAAGGATAAAAGAGAAATTTTCTCATACTGAAATGCTTGATCTTGGCTATGTAACCATATGAAAAATATTTTTATGAAATAAAATAAGATTCCTTCTCATGCTATGTCTTTATTTTTTTTTAAAAAAAGTAAATTATTATATATTTGTACTAAGTTTAATATAGCACTCGTCAAATTTACCAGAAAATTTATTATATTAGATTAAAAGTCTTCCAGTGTAAGCCTGTTAATTTTAGAGGAAGTGATAAAAGACTTGTTAGTGTTGTAGCTTTGCTCACAAGATTCATGACTCGTGTAATTAGTAAGTGTAGGGCTTCCTTTCAAGCATTAAAGGTCGGTAAAGATCTCATGTGGAACAAGACCTATGAGAGTGTGTTCCCAATAAAGGAAGAGAGAAACAAAAGATCGAGAGAACTGATATTGTTGCACCTTCTTTTAAGTCCGAGCATGCTCAAGACTTGCTCGTAGATGGTTCATCCACAATATGGGGAGCGTCACTAGAATTGTTTTGGCCAGCCTGAAAAGGGAGAAGTTAAGTTATGTTCTTCATTTTGACTTCAAGGCGTTCTATAATGAGGCCGAGTATGAGGCATTGCTCGCCGGGCTGGGGCTAGCAAAAGAATTGAGAATTCGTAGGCTTGGGGTTAGCTCAGCGACTCGCAGCTTGGGGTAATTAGCCTGGTCACTAGGGAGTATCAAGCACATGAAGACCACATGGTAGCCAACCTTTCTAGAACTAAGAACCTCTTGGAAAATACGACAAATAGTTGCGCAATGGAATTTTAAAATTTTTTTATTCAAACAATCTAAAGAAGGATCTTGTTCGTGATGCTATATATCATAAATACTAAAAATTTAATGTAAAAATTATCTGATTAAAACAATTATATGCGTACATTCCCATTTTAAAAAAAAAAATATTATTTCAACCCATTTATCTTGAATTAATTTAAATAATTAATTCAACCAATAAATCACTCTTGAATTAATTGAAAACTTTATTAATTCAATCAATTTATCTTAACTTAATTTAAACAATTAGTTCAACTGATAAACTACGCATGATTAATTTCATCTGATTTATAACCAATTGCAGAAATAACATAAGTTACCAATATGCCAGAAATACGTCTTATCGTATTAGGATAGCAGAGATACTTGATGGAGATATATAGATCAAGCTCTTATAGTCACGGTAGTACTTGATCACCGGCAAGTTCATCTCGCGATTATAAGTTCAAGTGTTACTCCACTAAAAGCCTAGAATCGCACTCTTTATCGATGTAATATATTTACAAAGCTTCGATTAGCTATCGTCCATCACTTTATTATATTGTGTATCATCCCCATAAGATATTCATAATTAACTTGAGGCCAAGTTCTACTTTACCTTCTCGATTATATTATCTCGTGTTCCATTACCTCGCCATTGGAATAACTACTATTCGTATCGATACAAATAGTAAGAGCTATGGATTCCTTATCTATTAATAATAAATCTATGTATACATGAGTCGTATCTCTAACATACCGAAATGCGTACATTCAACAATGTCAAGATGTCACTCTTAGATATATCAAAATATACAAGTCACATATACTAGTTTATTATCTTAATAGGAATAAAGTACCCAATTTTGTTCACTCGATTTCATAACATATTACTTAGATTATCATCTTTAGATTAATGTATTTTGCATATTCTTCACATTATATGCACGATTTAAAGATTTAGAATAACAGTTTCAAACTTTCAATTTGCTTTATATGTATTTAATTTATATGAACAAGAAGATGACAATACTTGATACATAAAATAAATAAATTATCCTTTATTGATCGCTAAAATGTAAAAATAACTTGTTAAATTTATTCTTAAGTGACCTAAATGCTAACCGAATCTACTAGCCCACTTTGAATGGCATGTGTTGGGGTCAGATTTCGTCACTCAATCTCAACCGTACACGTGTCAACTCGAGTCGACTAGACTTGAAAACCATCATCTAAGAAGACCTCTCAGAAGGATTCAGCAGCTCAAGAAGATTAAGAGATGATCCAGGGTCAAGTCAGACCTCATCATCTGGAGTCGACTATGACTGCTCAACAGAGCAGAGGAGTCGACTGCTGTGAAGAGTATTTTGAGAATCTTATAAAGAGTCTTCTATTCTAGGATTTTGAGAAAGCTCCAGATCACACTAAGGATAGCCTAAATTACAGAAGATGCAAAGGGAATAAGGAAATAAGATCAAAACGCAATTGAAAAAGTCAACTCTATTCAAGAAAGGAAAACTAGCCTTAATTGGGAAACAAGAGTTTGCAGTAATAAAAGGAGGACTTTCCAAAACGTTCAGAGCATCTCAATACATCTCAATACATTCCAAGACGTACAAACTCGTGTATTATCTCTGCAATAAGCCCTTTCTCACTCTTTCCTCTACTGTCTCTCTTAAGCTTTATCAAGCTTCTTTCTACTATTTTCTCTCTATACAGTGCAAACAATAAACACTCTAGTGGACGTACTCTGGATTATTAGGAAAACCACTATAAATTTCGGTATCCCCTTTTTATTTTCGGCACCTTATTTTATCGCTCATACGCTGGATCATCTTAAGCAAATGGATCATACTCTACCACTCCACGAATTAGTTCCTAATGCAAATTCGATTGTTGGAAATTGACCTCCACAGTACGCCATGCAACGCATTCCTCGAAACGAGAACATTGTTGTCGCTAGTCTATCCAAGATCGCCTCGAGTTTGGCTAATAACAAATTGTGTGCTATTCCGGTAGAACGCCACTATGAACCAAGCATTAATTCTTCTAAGCACCCTTTGTGCATCGACAATATGACCACATTCTGATAACTGGGGAGTTGACTGGGGAAAAAAATATAGACCATTGAATCAACTATGAGTCGAGGAACTATCTGATGCCATTCTTAATTAGCATTATGAAATGTAGCAGTTTATAGAAATTTGCATCATGGAGAAAGGAGGAAAAATATCTAGGGTAACAACATATATTAGAAGTTCAAGTGCTTATTATCGAATTGGGTGGTGGATCTGGCATGAATAAGAGAACTTAGGGTCCTTTTACACTGTCGGGGCACTTTTTTCAGACACCATGTTGGAAGATACGATAATTTGTGAAATTTTAATTTAGAACTTGCAAATTCAAACGATAAAATTACAAACTCAAATAATAATTTGTAAAATTTTGAATGTTACGATAAATCGTTCCAGTTTGTAAATTCTAACATAAATTATTATAAAATTTGAATTTCATAAATTATCGTAATTTTTATAACTTTATCATTCGAGTTTGTAAGTTTCAACGTATAATTTCATAAATTATTGTATTTCCCGGCACCGTATCGGGAATATTCTCCCAGCAGCATAAAAGAATCCAAGAACTTATCATTTTAAATTTGTTTCCGACCGTTTTGGTTTTTGTATTTTATTTTTTATTTTTTTTATTCTTGATTGCTCTATATCTAATCTAAACTTAAATAGAAGTCCCTGGTGGTGGCGTTTCAATTTGATCTTCACTCAGCTTGGTAAATATATTTCAAAAGGTTGTTACTGTAATTTTTGTGCCTGAATATCTTGAAATAACTTCTATGAACTATGGACGTACTGTTAGACTGCTACGTACTTTCATTACTATTTTTGAGTTTTTCTGTTTATTTTCTTTTCTAAAAAATCTTGATAAAATTGCTATATACCCTTTGTGTGCATGGGGTCTAAATTTTTATCTTTTTACTCTTGAAAAAATATACTTTTGACTAATTAGTTATTTAATTAAAAGGAGTATTAATTAATAGTAAAAAGTAAAAATTAAAACTCATACACTCAATAGATATTTATTTTCTTTTTCCTAAATTTTTTACTTATAAATTGTAATGACGATGACTTAGTTATTTAATTAAAAGGAGTATTAATTAATAGTAAAAAGTAAAAATTGAAACTCATACACTCAATAGATATTTATTTTCTTTTTCCTAAATTTTTTACTTATAAATTGTAATGACGATGATAAATATAGAGCTCGTTTTATAGTATTTTTAAATTTAATTTTGTTTTAAGTATGGGTATGAAAATGAAAATATTTTAAGAATGATGTTAGTACTATTTCTTAAATTGTGTTAGGTGATTTTCCTGAAAGAATATTTTGGCATAAGAAAATGAGTAGGACTCTGTTTGAATGTGTTTTTAAAAACGTGCGTTGTCACAGAATAAAAATGAAAATAATAAAAATATCTTTGAACTATTTTCTATTTTCATAACAAAATCCACACTCACAATTTTTATTTTTTTTTTGTTTCGTTTACTTTCAAAGCATTTGCTAATGGAACATGATGGAAAAAGTTTTGATTTTTCAATCTTAAAAAATAGCAGAAATAATTTAAATTTAAAAAAAAAATTTATTTTGAAAAACATTAAAAAAATCGGAAAGCACTAACCAGGGTTTTTCAAATTGTTTAGAGGGATTTTGTCATTTGATTTTAAAATCACATTGTTGGCTGCTTACTCCTTTTTGTTTTGTTTTTTTTTTTTGGTATTTTAGTCGTCACAAGCTGAAGCGGATAATAACAGAGCAAGTGGACACCTATTCACGTAACAGAACGCCCAACGTAGACAGCGCCAGATATAATAACAATAATATTTTATTTTATTTTATTTTTTTATAAAAAAGTGGGATCCACTCCAAATCATCCCCATATCCTCCCAGCTTCCTTCCACTCCACAGTCGTAATAATTTACTCCATTTCCTTCACCGGCTGCCCCACGTGCTTTAAATACTTCACTTATATAAACCCAAAACAACGAAACTAATCAAATCTCCCAATTCCAAAGCCACCCTCAACAAACCCTCTCCCCATTTCCTATTTCATGGCCGTTGTCCGTGGTCGCCGACAGCTCAATCTCCGCCTTCCTTTGCCGGAAATCTCGGAGCGCCGCCCTCGCTTCCCTCTCCCCCTCCCTCCTTCCGCCGCCACTTCCGACACCAACCACAACAGCAACAACAACAACTGGTTATCTGCTTCTTCCGCCGACATCTCCGCGGCAGACGTCGAAAAACTCAACGTCCTCGGGCACGGCAACGGAGGAACCGTCTACAAAGTCCGCCACAAGAAGACCTCCCTGACATACGCCCTTAAGCTCATCCATGGCGACTCCGACTCCACCGTCCGCCGACAGCTTCTCCGCGAGATGGAGATCCTCCGCCGCACCGACTCCCCTCACGTCGTCCACTGCCATGGAATGTTCGAGAAGCCCTCCGGCGACATCGCCATCCTCATGGAGTACATGGATTTCGGAACCCTCGAGACGATTCTCAAGGCCGACGGCACTTTCTCGGAACCCAAACTCGCTTACGTCGCCAGACAAGTTCTCAATGGCCTCAATTATCTTCACTCGCACAAGATCATCCACCGAGACATTAAGCCATCGAATCTCCTCGTCAACAGAAACATGGAAATCAAGATCGCCGATTTCGGAGTCAGCAAAATCATGTGTCGGACGTTGGACGCGTGTAATTCCTACGTCGGAACCTGCGCGTACATGAGCCCGGAGAGGTTCGATCCCGAGACGTACGGAGGCAATTACGACGGCTACGCTGGGGATATATGGAGTTTGGGGTTGACTCTGATGGAGCTCTATTTGGGCCACTTTCCGCTCCTTCCGGCGGGGCAGAGGCCTGATTGGGCGACGCTGATGTGCGCGATCTGCTTCGGCGAGCCGCCGACGCTGCCCGACGGCGTTTCAGAGGAGTTTCGGAGCTTTATTGAGTGTTGCTTGCAGAAGGAGTCCAGCAAGAGGTGGTCGACGTCCCAGCTTTTGAGTCACCCCTTCTTGTGTAGAGATTCGAGAACCGAGTGGTGAATTTTAGGAATATCGGACGCAGTTTTGGATGCTCTGCTTTTTTAGAGTTCATCGTATATACTGACCGGATTCGGATATTCTGTTTTTCCCCTTGTACAGTCTTTAATTTATTTCTTTTGTGATAGCATTTCTGAAGTTAAATCGTAACAATCAGAAAATGTTTCTACAAGTTGGAATTTTGTCATGCTCTTGTTTCAGCTCTGGTGGAGGTTTCTTTCACAAATGAGAAAAGTGAATTGGGACATGTTCATTTTTTTTTTTTTTTTTTGTTAGATGTTGAATTCAAATTTGTTTATTTCACTTCCACTTGTTTTTCATTTCTTGTTATTTTTCTTTATTTTAATTTTGGTTCGAATATATTAATTTATGTTGAAATTAAAATTTGGTTGAAATATTAATACCACGTGGTCATTAGTATGTTAATTCTCCATAACAAGAAAACTCGATCGCCACAATAGCATTGTTTATTGCTTGGTTGTGATCGAAAATCACCTCATGCTATATTGTAGCGACAACGGAGATTTTATTATTATACTCTGATGGCTTGTTCGGTGTACCGTACTTGAGTTATATTATTTGTAAATTAATACGGTATGTATTGTATTAGATCACTATTTTATTATTTTAGCATTATTTTAATTGTACTCTTAAATTTTGTGGTCATTTTTTATTTATCCTCTAAATTTTTTTTAAAAAAAAAAAACTCTAGATTTGTTTTCTAAATTTTGAATTGTTCCCATTTACACTCTTTGTTAGAAATTATGTTTAAAACATATAGGAAAAAAAGATAATAATGCAATCATGTAGTCAATCTATTTGAATATCCGTCAAAAGCAAACCGATAAAAACTATAGTTTGATTTTACTAGAAATTCTTACAAAATGATTTAATTGGGATTAATTCTATTATTTGATGCTTCAAGATTTTATTTGATGCAAACTTAATATTATTTAACACGAGCTCCTAAATTGCATTGCATTTTTTCGTCTTCATAATTCTCGCCAATTTGTCTCGCAAATTTAAATCAGAGTTCAAACTTTTTTATGCAATACATTTTCTTAGAAAAAATTATATTCTTATCCACATTTTATGTTCAAACCTATAAACTAAAATGTCCATGTTAGAAATATTTCCTTTCCTTTCATAACAATTAAGTTTCATTTTCTACGGCCTCGTTCATTTCACCGATTCGAGTTTTTAGTTTTAGGTTTCTACATAAAAAGCTCTCAGAAAATGTCACATCTAAGTTTTTTTTTTTTTGCTACAGTGAAAATCTATCAGAAAATGTCACATCTCAGTTCGAATTGAAAACTCCAATCTGCGAAGTGAACGAGGCCTACGTCGTTTTTGTTTTCCATATGTTCTAGATTGCTTGAGCTATATCTATATATAGAGTATTTTTACAGTCCTTCCAGCACTGTTTGATGGACCGAAATATTCACTCTATCCAGATTGATTTCAACGGTTTAAATTAGTGGATAGGTAATGATGTGGCACGCTACGTATATCAGTGGTAAATAGGTTATCAAATGAACAGTAACATTTAGTTAAGCGATACTAACGCATAATTTTTTACCTAGTAACATATTTGTTTGATGTTTTATTTTTCTACTTTTACATCTACAAAAACTCATGCTTTAAAATACTATAAGTTCTTTTGTTTTAACTATGATTGAGACGATTCTTTTTTTTATGTGTTCAGAGCGAAAAAGATAACAAATCAAGATCCATATATCCTAGGTAATTCAAGCATGAAAATTGAGTTTTTGTAAGATTTATATCGTGCCACTAAATTTTTCAATGATTATTTTACACTCTATCGAAACTCAAATTCTTCTTTCTATGTGTTCAGAGTGAAAAAATAATTACACATTTGTGTCGTTTTATTATGAATCATAACAAAATTATCTACATATTTAAATGACGGTCAGTTCTAATCACCTCGTTTCAATTTTTGTTTAAATGAAATCATTCAAATGGCTAGAATTTCATACATATGAACCAAATGAAGCCAGAATTTGGATTTGGAAACCTTTCCATAAATTTGTAAAATCAAAACCATTTCTCAGTGTAAATTATTTCTCATTTCAGTTTTTCTTTTTTCATACATATTCTTTGCTAAGTTTAAATTTTTAACACATATTAAAAGATAGATTTAGATTCTATTCACTTTTAAAATTTAAAATTTTCACTACACGTCCAAACTTTAATATGGACTGCAATTCAAACCACACTAACATTCAAATTTCACGGTTTAAATCAAAACGATTTCAATTGCCGCAGTTAGAATTAATGAACCATATGAGGCCATAGAGTTTTTTATGTTGGAAAACTGTTACAAAATTTTTGATCCCCTATTTATTTTGAGAATTCAAATTAATTTGCCAAATTCATAATATAATGAGATTCTTAGAGTGTGGTGTAATTATGTATGTAATGTGAAGGATTTCTTAAACATGCTTAATTACGTACTAACTAAAAATTTGTGGTGAACAAATATTAAAAAATTAACTTTGGGGGGACATATAGTTAACAGTTAAACATGTAACTTGTCCTAACTAAAAAAGCCAGGTTCGATGCACTATTCATTGACATGTTACTTTGTAGATGCCAGAATGTTCCCCTGCAATGCCTAAATATTATCTTGTGGTTCAGACCCAAAAAATCAACAAATTTTTGAGATTTTTAAATTCTTTTTCTGCCCATGAAATATTGGGCGCATTTGGAACTCGTTTTAAAATAATTTATTTTTTGTATAAAAATAAAAATAAAAACGTTTTTAATCTCGGACATAAATTATTTTTAAAAATACATTTAATAATTTTATCAAGAGATTATTTTCAATATAAAAAAACCATTAATGTTTCTCTCATTCTCTCTCTGCATGAAAAACAACTAAGAGTTTTAAAAATCCCGTTTTAGGATCAATTCTTTCTTTTTTTTGTCTTTATTGCGTAAAACGTCATTTTAAAAATATATATATATTTTTTAAAAAATATAAAAAATAAAAATAAGATTAATTCTAAACACGGCATTCAACACTTTTATATCTCCTTAATTACATATTTGCCACGTGAACAGTATCCTAGCCACCGGTAATAGTTGGTTTCGCTTAGTTGGCACTTAGCTGTGGTCCTCCTATTCGCCACGTGTGAAAGAACTGATCCGCTCGACATATATATTTATATATATATATATATATATTTTAAACCTCAACACAGTAAATTACCTTATGGAATCTGTGCAGAGTGTCCTTAACAAATTCCCTATACAAATGAGGGTAAATCAACAGTTTTCACATTATGGGACATAACCTCGAGGATTTTGCTTAGGGGTGTCGCGACAACACAATTTAAAATTCATATAGAGTTAATGGGTTTGAATTTTTAAATTTGGAGGTAAGCTTTACATAATTTTCTTTGAAGAAAGTTAAATTAATCAATAAACTTGAACGTATTATAATCTTTTTAAATCAATCATAATTACATCAATTACTTATTTAACATATTATTTCAAACGAATTATGTGAATTTACATGATTTACACAACTAATAAATGTGTCGTGTTTGTGTTGATATGAATTACACCCTTAGATTTGCCTCGAAAAGATTTTAAATTTTTGACTTGTATGAGAGCACATCTCCAAGACCAAAGTCTTTCAATAAGACATTTTACGAAAATTGTAAGCAATTTCAGTGCTTGGTCAATATTTTGGGTCCATTCAATTTAGATTCAAATTTTGAAAACTCTTTTTTGGAGAGACCTGCCAAAATTTTGCCGTAGACATCTTTACTTTCTTATGTTCGGTAAGAGCATCGGGTGGTAGATTAATCAAAGTAGATTAATCAAAGTATTTTAGCTTTATCAGCAATTGTTTCCTCCCTTAAAAATATCCTATTGCATTGGTTATAAATTTAAAACGTGATTGTTTTTCTTGTTGGGCTATTGTCCTTGGCAATCGCAAATTTGTTTTCTTCTACGACTACCAAACTTTTTAAACATTTATATTATATATATATGTGAGAATCTTTTAGGGTTTGTTTTGATATGAGAATTTAAACTAGAATAATTTTAATTATGATTCTGAAATTAGAACTATGATTCATAATTTTAGATTCAAATCATGATTCTGAATCTGAAGTTTGAATAATCTTGAATCAAGAGGAATTAATTTTAAAATTATGAGACATCATATCAAATTTCACATCATAATTTAAAATTATTTAAATCAAATATTAATTTTAAATCATGATTTAAAATTACTATAAACAAATAATGATTCTTAATACTTTGCTTTATCTATAGGTAGCCCCCACTTGCAATTTGCTAAACTACAAATTGCAAAGCTACATAAATGCCAACAATCAACAATAAACAAACCTTCTTGGCCCTGTTTATCTAGCGAGATGATCTTGACCCATTTCAGTAACATTAATTAATCTCATGCGGAATCATGATACCGTACATGACTGCTGCCGATTGAACACTATATGGAATAATACAAAGTTTATGTGCCGCTTATAAAATTTACACTGTCATGATTATAATAGTTTTTATATTTTCAAAAGTGGACTAAGCATCCCTTAAAAAAAAGAAAAGTGAATTAATAGTCCGTTTAATTTATGGATTAGAATTATGTGATTAGAATTATTTTTAATTTATGTGTATTTTTATGAGAGAAAATACTGTAACAAATCATGAATCATGATTCATAAAAAAAAAAAAAAGTGAATTAATAGTCCGTTTAGTTTATAAATTAGAACTACATGATTAGAATTATTTTTGATTTATGTGTATTTTTATGAGAGAAAATACTGTAACAAATCATGAATCATGATTCAAATCAGAAAATGAATCACTCTATCAAACATCACCTAAGTACATTATAGGATTTGTGTGACGAAAAGTCTGTTTTTATTTTTTTATTCTTTTGCAAATGTATTTTAATGTCAATGCAATAATATAGTACATTTTACTATCAATGATGTTGTCTTGTATTTCCATATTGCATTGGGTTAGAAATTTGTTAAATGCAAAATGGTCATGAACAAATGAATTCCACAATGATACAATACATGATGTTAGCTATCAAATGCAATGTCTATATGAAATTGGGATGCTTCCGGATAGCTTCTAGTTTTCAGATTCTTAGTAGTTGGAAAACTGAGTCAGCAAAATAGCGACATCAGATAAAAGCAAATCCGTCCAAATCAAAGGTGTGCCCCATTTGCCAGGTGCATGAACCACGTCACTCTTTCATTCGCGAAAAACTCCAACTTGGCGGTTTCTCATCATACATGACGTCACATGCAACTTTCTATCCGCTTCAATTTTATGATTTTTCTTTCACAATCCCTTCTTTACATGTACTTTTTTTTTTTTTTCTGCTAATTTTTACATGTTTATTTTTGCCTTATTTAATTTTCAGTATGATGGTTGGTTATGACAAATCTTTACCTTCCTTCTTGGAAGGCCGATAGCACTCCGTTATTAATTTAATAATAATGTTAAAAACTCAAAATTTATGGTCCTGTTTATTTTATCAATTTAAATTTTATTATAATAAAAACTCTTAAAAATAGTCACATTTAATATTTTTATTATAATAAAAAAATTCTCATATAAAATCACATTTTAATTCAAATTAAAAATTCAAACTAACGAATTAAATAATCAATATATAAATTTTACTCGAAACTCCGAATTCTAATATATTGTTATTGTTATATCATTATTATTATTATTATTATTATTATCTTGAAGTTGATTGATTGGAAAGAGTTTTAATTGAAGGGGTGAATGGGGTGACGGGTTTGGATATTATGGAGCGGCTGAATGATGTGTCAATAGAGAGCGGTTGGATTTATACTTGAAGTATGTATGGTCCACATGCACTTGAGACAAAATCTTATTTTTGATGGAAAAACATGCTAAAGGGGTTAAATTATGGTTGCGTCCCGATTTATCCATGATTTTTTTTATTCCTTGTCCCGAAAATTCTAATACTACTTTCAAAAATGATTTTGAATTAAAAAATAAGATTGTTTTGTTTTGTTTTATATTTAAATAAATATATGATCCGTTAAATATAATATGTCGTTTTTTGTCTTTGAAATGGAAGGCGGATTTGGTAATTTTATAGCTCAAACAAACATTCTTAAAAAAAAAAAAATTGTGTTTTAACCCAATTATTTTTTGACGTGTGTTTTCTTTCCAATTAATTAAAAATAAGAAAAAATTTCATTTTGGCATAATGTTTTATCGAAATATGAGTTTAATACATTTTATTTTTAATAATTTCATGCCGTACCTTGACTTTTTATAAAATTTTCTTTTGGTACCTCAGGGTAGTTTTTTAGAATACGAAAAGAAAAAATTGTCCTTATTATTAAATATATAAAAAAGCTTTATAAAAAATATTAGACTTACAACTAAATACGTAAACCTCATTCTGCCCCAAATATAAATAAAAAATCTTGATTGCTGGTTTAAGATCTTTTAAAATAATGATCATTTTGTCTTTCTATGTCCTAAAAAACTGTCATGAATTATTGAAAAAAGATTTTTTAAAAAGTTAAGGTATCGGTATAAAATTATTAAAAACATAAGATATTAAATTTATATTTTGATATAATACAGAATATCAAAATGAACTTTTCTCTAAAAATAATAAGAATATTGGCGTTAACTTTTAGTCCGGCAGCCAGACCAAAACAACACCTACATGGTAGGCAGAGTATGCTACAAGGTGGACTTTAACATGGAAAGTTAGGCCTCGTTCACTTCGCGGATTCGAGTTTTCGATTCGAGCTGAGATGTGACATTTTCTGAGAGCTTTTTACTGTAGCAGAAAATTTTGATGTGACATTTTCTGAGAGCTTTTTACTGTAGAAACCTAAAACTAAAAACTCGAATCGGTGAAGTGAACGAGGCCTTAGTATTTTATGTGTTATTATTTTTGATAGCTAGTTTTCACTCTATTAGTTTTTAGGTGTGTTTGGAATTCATTTTAAAATAATTTTACTTTTTGTATGAAAATAAAAATAAAAATATTTTCAATCTCAGACATAAATTATTTTTAAAAATACGTTTTGTAGTTTTATTAAGACATTATTTTTAGTATAAAAAAATCCATTAATATATCTATTTCTCTCTCTTTGCTCGAGAGATGAGAAAATGAAAATAAAAAATGAAAAACAATTAAAAATCATTTCTTATTTCTCTCTCATTTTACGCTAAATTAAAAAATTATTTTTATTTTTATTTTTTATTTTTATTGTACCAAACAGGCAAACACCGTTTTAAAAATATTTTCATTTTTTTTAAAAAAATGTAAAAAATAAAAACAAAATCAATTTCAGCTTTTATTTTAGTCTTTGATAACTTACTTGATTAATATCCTTTTAAAAAAAATAACTTACCTGATTTGTATACTTGTAACTTCTATAGACACAAAGGGTCAATCTATTTCTAATCGCTTCTCTTATCTCCTTGATCTCCCTCTCGACTGTTTTGAATCTCTCTTCCGTTTTTCTGGCCGCCATAATCACACAAAAACGCTGTTCTGATACCAAAATGATAGGTTCTAGGGTTTCTTTCACAGAACAAGAAAAGAAAATAACGAAAATGAATTAAGAATCTGACACAACCGCAATTCTTCGAGGGACTGCAACCTCCCAGCTGGCTTAATCGCCAAGCTCCTCACCAATTCTCTCATTCGATACCCCCTACCCTCCTTTCTTTCTCTATTTATTCCTCTCATATTCCCTCATACTTTGTTGTAACTAACTCTCCCCCGCCTAACCTTTCCCTTCTAACTTCCTCTAATCTGTTACAAAAATCCTATTCACCCGTATCCCCTTTCTAACAAAAACCTATCTGACCAAAGGCTTGGTCTTTTTATATCTTTACTAGTTTTTAGTCAAAATAGTTAATGATTTAGCGTCGTCTTCTTTTCTTTTTTAAGCTTTTATCCACTTAACCATTAGTCAAAAGGTTAGCTATTTATAAGAATGCCTTTCACATTAGCTAAATATAACTAGGATAGAGAGGCTAGTTACTTAATTTTTTATATTATTTTATTCTTTCAACCATAATAAATGCAAAGGTTCTTTTTTAAATTCATTTAAGTTATTTATATTTTAAATTTAATAAATATTAAAATAGTTTATATTCAGTAAAAATATGGAGTATGATTGGAGTGAATCACTCAAAGATTACTAGTTAAAATAGCTTTCTAGCCATTTCAGTTAAAATTTAACTAAAATTTGGAGAGTTCTTCCACTTTAGGACCTAGAATTTATAATGTAAAATTTAACTAAAATGTAAAAACGTCTTGAGCTTGACTTCAATAGCATTTCCTCAAATTAGCTCCACACAAATAACCAAAAATTGATTCTATAACTGCTGAATTTTGTAAGGCCACAAACCTATTGAACAAAGCATGAATGAATTAAAAAAAAAAAAAAAGAAAGAAAAAAGAGAGCTCTTCAGATTTCTTTAGACAAGCTTGTAAGAAGATGTTCAAGGAAAGAATTTCACAAGTGTTTTTCTTTTGCTATCCTCCTTGTCTCTTGTACAAAATAATATATATTGTTGCTTGGCGACGGAGAAATGTGCAGAATCTATTCTAGCTCAAAAACAAAAATGAAAGAAAAAAAAAAAAAAGAACAGAAAAACACGAAAAGTTCAAAGCTCAAAAACTAATCTATGATGAACAGTAGTATGGAGAAATCCGTTCAAAAAATTAACACCTTTATAATTGGAATTGCTATGCAACAGATTTAATTTGAAATTCAAGGGCGGAATTGTCAATTGCAAAATTTTTTAGTAAAGTGACTCATAGTGGGGTATAAAAAAAAAAAAGAAAAAGGTGCTTCACAGGTCTTTAGACAAACGTGTAAAAAGATGTTCAAGGAAAGAATTTGATAAGTGCTTTACTTTTTCTTTCTTGTCTTGAACAGAATATACTTTTGCTTGGCGGAGGAGAAATGTGCAGAATCAAGTGTCTGATTCTCCATTAGTCCAATGCAGCAAGTTTATTCCTCCAAAACTCTCTAATCTTTATTGGCTAGTGATCTGTTTTTGCTAGCTCACTGCACCACGATCCTCAAACATTACAGCAAGCCTGACAGCTTTCTGTTTCTTGCTTGATCAGGTTGCAGTGAAGAATTAATGGCGGAGACTTTCTTGAGCCCTATCATCGAGAAATTGACCGAGCTACTAATTGAAGAAGGGTTCTCATTAAAAGGCGTCCGCAAAGAAGTCAAGAGTTTGAAAGATGAACTGGAGATCATCGAGCCTTTCCTTAAAGATGCAGAGGCAAAGGTGGAGAAAGACAAAGGGTTTGATGCATCAAAAGCATGGCTGGGGCAAATACGAGAAGAAGCCGAGCGAATAGAGGATTTGGTTGATGATTACGTTTATCGCATAGAACATCATTGCTATGAAGGTGGATTCATGGGAGCTCTTCGAAAAGCATGTCATTGTATCAAAGCGTTAAAGGCACGTTATGACATTGCATCGGAGATTCAAGATATTAAAGAGTCATTGCAGGGAATCAAGGATAGAGGTGTTGGATATGGATTAAGACCTTTGGAGCAGGGATCAAGTAGCAAACCAACAAATGGAGAACGACAAGACCCTCGTCTTGGATCTCTTTTCATGGAGGAAGATGAGATTGTTTGTATTGATGATGCATCCGAGGAACTTATGAGAATGTTGATTGATGGAGAATCCATGCGCTCCGTGATTTCATTGGTAGGTCAAGGTGGAATTGGCAAGACGACTCTTGCCAGGAAAGTCTACAACGATGAAGTGGTGAAAGCTCATTTTGATTGCCATGCTTGGATCACGGTGTCCCAATCATACGACATGAAGAATCTTTTGAGGATCGTATCAAGGCAAGTACGTCTTCCACAAAGAATAATTGAAGAAGAATGCAATATTGATGAGTTGATAAGTCCACTGAAGCAATTTTTACAGACAAGGAGGTATGTCGTTGTTTTCGATGATGTTTGGCAAAATGATATTTGGAATGTTATGAAATATGCTTTGCCAAATAATAACAACGGCAGTAGGATAATTATTACAACACGCAATGATAATGTTGCTGCTGTTTCTAAGGAAAACTCTTGCGATGTTGTGAAAGAGTTACAAATTTGGTCTTTAGAAATGGCTTGGCAATTATTTTGCAAGAAGGCATTTCGAAACGACCAGTTTGAGGGGCGTTGCCCGCAAGAGTTGGAGCAATTGTCGTACGACATTCTTTGCAAATGCCAAGGCTTGCCACTTGTTATTGCAACCATAGCTGGTGTTTTGTCAACCAAACAAAAGTCTGAATTTGAGTGGAAAAATGTGCTCAACAATCTAACTTCAGAGTTCGAAAAAACAGATATTGAAAAGATTCTCTCCCTTAGTTATTTTGATCTTCCTCACCATCTTAGACGTTGCTTCCTATATTTTGGAGTTTTTCATGAAGATTATCGAATTTATGATAATCAGTTGTATGGGTTATGGATTGCCGAAGGCTTTGTTAAAGCAAGAAGTAACAAGACTCTGGAAGAAGTTGCCGAAGATTACTTGAATGAGCTCATCCAAAGAAATTTGGTATTATTGGAAACAAAATATGGAATATCTAGAGAATGTAGAGTCCATGATTTGATGTATGAGATCATCTTAACAAACGCTGGTGAATGGAGATTTTGTAAATCTTTGAAGGGAGGCAAGTCTAGTCTTGCAGAAAGGAGCAGTCGCCTATCAGTTTATGGCCCTACAGAGAATGTTCTGAAAACTGTCGGAGATTCTCGTATTCGTTCGGTTTTTCTCTTTGGCACGAATGAATTAAGCAAGTCCTTCGTAGTTGGATTGGGTGAAAAATGTAAGCTTTTGAAGGTGTTGGATTTGTCAAATGCTCCTCTTGATAATCTCCCAAAAGAAGTAGGCAATTTGTTCCACTTGAGATGCTTACGTTTAAGACGTACAAAGGTGAAAACACTTCCGAAATCCATTGGTAAGCTACGCAACCTTCAGACGCTAGATGTTTCTAATACATTAGTGCGGGAGCTACCAAACGAGATTAACAAACTAACAAATTTGAGACACGTTTTTGCCTATTCTCTTGATAGGCCAACCGATTTTAGTTTGGATTGTTTTCGTGGTGTAAAGATGAATGAAGGAATCGGAAGGTTGATGGAGTTACAAACACTAACGCGTGTTGAAGCATATCCCGGAAGAGAAGTTGGTTTCGCGAAAGAGCTACAAAAGCTGAGGAATATAAGGTCTTTGAGCATTTTAAAAGTAACCGCGGAAATGGGGATAGCTCTTGGTGCCTCCATTGAGAAAATGGACCACCTTAAAGAGTTAACTTTAACTTTAATCAACGAGGATGAAGTTTTAGATTTAAGATGCATTTCATCTCCCCCGCTTTTTTTACGTTGGCTCCAGTTGAATTGTCGAATGCAACAGTTGCCGGATTGGATTCCAAAGCTTTATAATTTGCGGATGTTGGATTTAAAGTTCTCAAGGTTAGTTGATGAACCATTAAGATCGCTCAAAGGTTTGCCCAATTTACTATTCCTTCGCTTGCTCCAGACATACGATGGAGAAGAATTGCATTTTGAAGAAGGAGGTTTTCGAAAACTCAAGGAACTTCGATTAGTGAAGTTGGAAGGATTAAAAGTGGTGAAAATAGACAATGGAGCACTGCCTCTTCTTGAAAAGTTGGAGTTCGGGCCTTTCCCGTTAATGATGGAGCCGACGTCTTTCGACATTCAACAACTTTCCAGTCTCAAATCACTTGAAATTCTTGACATGCCAAGAGAATTTGTGCTTGGTTTGCAACCAGATGGAGGACCTTATTATAGGAAAATTCAATATGTACCCTCTGTGAAATTCTGCTACAAATACAGAGTTGACGGGTACGATGTGTACAAGCTTGGAAGCTCAGAGTTGTTGCGACGTCTGCAAGAGCAACGCAATTGAGCTATGGCACTCTCTGCAGGTACAAACTTTGTTAAAAGAGTTTCCTGTATTTTTAGTAGTACTAATCAAATGTCTTCTTTTCTGTGAGAATTCTTTTGTAGGATATGAAACCAACTACCTACTTGTAGGATATTGATTCAAAGTTCGTTAATTTGTCGTACTTTTTTTTATCATGTTATTTTTGATGTGATCTGACGGTTAAAAACTTTATAGGATATACTTTTTCATATCTTAACACATAAATTCTCTTTTTTTTTTTAAATAAAAAAAATTACATTTTCTGTCTTTGTTTCTGTCTTTTTATTCCACTTTTAGGAGAATTCCATTGTAGGGCATGGGAAAAAATCTACCAGTTGGATATACAGTTTTAATCGTTAAATCACATTAGGCTCATACCTAGTATGATGATTTAACAGAATTTGACGAACATTCAAATTAATACTGCTCTTTTTTTTCCCCCAAGTCTTTTAAGAAATTGTTTAAACAAATATGTGGCCTGTGAGACTGAAAGAATATTTGTTTCTCTTAAGGAACATATAATCTGTTCTATTCAGAAACCAAATTAATTATTATTATTTTTTCTTTTTTTGGGATTTTTTTCTGCAAGGCATGTTCTTCTGGAAGCCTACTTTTCTTGTAGGAGTACATGCATGCAAAAGGAGCTTGAGGGCATTGCTCAAACAACGCAGATGATTTATCTGTCCTCTTCAATGATTATGTTATTACTGAATTTCTAAATTATTCATGTTTAATTTCCGTTTGATGTTTGTATGGAGAAAAACTCCTATTGTTGTTTTAATTTGAGATGTATTGCTAATAATAATGAGCCTGAGGGCATTGCTCAGACCAAGGCAAGGGGGTTCGTTTTTAACACCTATTGTGGTTTTAATTTGAGATGTATTTCTATTGTTGTTTATTGCTCTTGTTTGGGAATTGTTTCAGTTCGATGCTGTTAAGTGTTTCTACTTATAATTTGTTTTAGTATTTTCTTTCTATGAGTTGTTTGATTTAGTTTGTTGAGTGTTCACTGGTTATATATCGTGATGTTAATTTACACCTGTTTGACATTGTTTTTGTTTATACGTACGTCTAGTTTGTAGAAGAAAGATAATAAAAAATAAAAACTGTGACTTTTGAATGAGTTTGAAATTGGAATTACATTTTTAAAATGGCCTAATGATATGAAAATTGTCTAGAGTTATTCCCGTTTTTAATCTCCAAAATATATGTTAAATCTAATTTTGATTATTGACTTTTAAAAATATCTTAAAAAGATTAATTTATAAAAATCTCAACAGAAAAAGGCACGTGGGGATCATTTGCAGTGTAATGAGAGTTAAATTTGTAATTTTACATTTTAAGAAATGTCTATTGAGAAGGAAGTTATGCTTTTTCTAGGTGAGATTTTAACAGTTAGATGAACAAAGTGACTAATTTAGATAAAATTTGATAGACGAAGAGTTATTAGAGGACGCCTTAAAAGTTGGGGATTAAAATAAGATTCGACCAAAATTTAGGGATTAAAATGGAACTAACCATATGTTTTATTAACTAATGAAAATAGTGGAATGAAATTTATGGTGTTACTAAAAAAGCTCCAATACAAATTTCAAAATCTACTCAGAAAATCTTTTATAAAAAGCTATATTTAGTGGCTTTAACTTGAAAGCTCTTTAATATGAGAAACCATCCAAGTAATGCCAAAAACAATTTGAACGTAGAAACCCAAAATAATTTCCAAGAGGTCATACTAAACAAGCCCTCATATATGGTTTAACTTTTACAGTCTATCATCGCAGTACTTGCTAATAACAAAAAAAGAGAAAAGCGTCCAAAGCAAATTAACAACTAGTTCCAAACAAAAATGCTATTCATCTCCGTGGGGATATTCATATAACAATAAACTCACACTTATACATCTCCGTGAGAAAAACCATTTTTGACTGAAACAGTAGGCTGAAAAGTTGTTTCCTGAAATCAGAGAACCCTAATAACAGTCCTATAAATTGAAGGAATTTGTGAATAGTATAGCAGTGTGTTTGGCTTGAATATTTGGCTGAGTTGAAAAGGGAGATGGAAAAGTTGGAGTTCGGGCCTTTCCCGTTAATGATGGAGCCGACGTCTTTCGACATTCAACAACTTTCCAGTCTCAAATCACTTGAAATTCTTGACATGCCAAGAGAATTTGTGCTTGGTTTGCAACCAGATGGAGGACCTTATTATTGGAAAATTCAACATGTACCCTCTGTGAAATTCTGCTACAAATACAGAGTTGACGGGTACGATGTGTACAAGCTTGGAAGCTCAGAGTTGTTGCGACGTCTGCAAGAGCAACGCAATTGAGCTATGGCACTCTCTGCAGGTACAAACTTTGTTAAAAGAGTTTCCTGTATTTTTAGTAGTACTAATCAAATGTCTTCTTTTCTGTGAGAATTCTTTTGTAGGATATGAAACCAACTACCTACTTGTAGGATATTGATTCAAAGTTCGTTAATTTGTCGTACTTTTTTTTATCATGTTATTTTTGATGTGATCTGACGGTTAAAAACTTTATAGGATATACTTTTTCATATCTTAACACATAAATTCTCTTTTTTTTTTTAAATAAAAAAAATTACATTTTCTGTCTTTGTTTCTGTCTTTTTATTCCACTTTTAGGAGAATTCCATTGTAGGGCATGGGAAAAAATCTACCAGTTGGATATACAGTTTTAATCGTTAAATCACATTAGGCTCATACCTAGTATGATGATTTAACAGAATTTGACGAACATTCAAATTAATACTGCTCTTTTTTTTCCCCCAAGTCTTTTAAGAAATTGTTTAAACAAATATGTGGCCTGTGAGACTGAAAGAATATTTGTTTCTCTTAAGGAACATATAATCTGTTCTATTCAGAAACCAAATTAATTATTATTATTTTTTCTTTTTTTGGGATTTTTTTCTGCAAGGCATGTTCTTCTGGAAGCCTACTTTTCTTGTAGGAGTACATGCATGCAAAAGGAGCTTGAGGGCATTGCTCAAACAACGCAGATGATTTATCTGTCCTCTTCAATGATTATGTTATTACTGAATTTCTAAATTATTCATGTTTAATTTCCGTTTGATGTTTGTATGGAGAAAAACTCCTATTGTTGTTTTAATTTGAGATGTATTGCTAATAATAATGAGCCTGAGGGCATTGCTCAGACCAAGGCAAGGGGGTTCGTTTTTAACACCTATTGTGGTTTTAATTTGAGATGTATTTCTATTGTTGTTTATTGCTCTTGTTTGGGAATTGTTTCAGTTCGATGCTGTTAAGTGTTTCTACTTATAATTTGTTTTAGTATTTTCTTTCTATGAGTTGTTTGATTTAGTTTGTTGAGTGTTCACTGGTTATATATCGTGATGTTAATTTACACCTGTTTGACATTGTTTTTGTTTATACGTACGTCTAGTTTGTAGAAGAAAGATAATAAAAAATAAAAACTGTGACTTTTGAATGAGTTTGAAATTGGAATTACATTTTTAAAATGGCCTAATGATATGAAAATTGTCTAGAGTTATTCCCGTTTTTAATCTCCAAAATATATGTTAAATCTAATTTTGATTATTGACTTTTAAAAATATCTTAAAAAGATTAATTTATAAAAATCTCAACAGAAAAAGGCACGTGGGGATCATTTGCAGTGTAATGAGAGTTAAATTTGTAATTTTACATTTTAAGAAATGTCTATTGAGAAGGAAGTTATGCTTTTTCTAGGTGAGATTTTAACAGTTAGATGAACAAAGTGACTAATTTAGATAAAATTTGATAGACGAAGAGTTATTAGAGGACGCCTTAAAAGTTGGGGATTAAAATAAGATTCGACCAAAATTTAGGGATTAAAATGGAACTAACCATATGTTTTATTAACTAATGAAAATAGTGGAATGAAATTTATGGTGTTACTAAAAAAGCTCCAATACAAATTTCAAAATCTACTCAGAAAATCTTTTATAAAAAGCTATATTTAGTGGCTTTAACTTGAAAGCTCTTTAATATGAGAAACCATCCAAGTAATGCCAAAAACAATTTGAACGTAGAAACCCAAAATAATTTCCAAGAGGTCATACTAAACAAGCCCTCATATATGGTTTAACTTTTACAGTCTATCATCGCAGTACTTGCTAATAACAAAAAAAGAGAAAAGCGTCAAAAGCAAATTAACAACTAGTTCCAAACAAAAATGTTATTCATCTCCGTGGGGATATTCATATAACAATAAACTCACACTTATACATCTCCGTGAGAAAAACCATTTTTGACTGAAACAGTAGGCTGAAAAGTTGTTTCCTGAAATCAGAGAACCCTAATAACAGTCCTATAAATTGAAGGAATTTGTGAATAGTATAGCAGTGTGTTTGGCTTGAATATTTGGCTGAGTTGAAAAGGGAGATGGGGTAGCTGGGATAAATCTGCCTCATGATATTGTCTCCATCTTCTTCTTCTTCATGTAGAAATGGAGAATTTGAAGTATATTTTTAGAGGCGATAGACAATCAGGATTTTCCCATGCCACCCTTTTTTATTGTTTCTGGTTTCTCTCCCTCTTCGCCTTCATGCTATCTTCAAATTGATCAATATTTCATGCCTCATGTTTGTGTCATTTATGATTTTTTGGGATCTTTTCCAATAGGACCTACTTATCAATAGGACTATTTTCTGATCGTTAGATCTTGTCAAAATCTCATTAGATTAAAAAAGTATGCAGAATATATAATTTTTAATGTACAAATCTAATGATTGAATTTAAAGGCCTATCCGCAGTTCATTTTTTTTAGTTTTATTAGGGAGACTCCTTATTTTATTTCCTTTTTGGATGTCTCATCTTGTGCGTGAGTGCACTTTCTTTGTGTATGCTTGTGTGCTTTTTGAGTTTTTTCCCTTTACTAGTTGGAAGCACTTTTTTTTCCCTCTAAAGAATTGGAAGCATGTGTTATACACATGCATAATCAGTTTAGTGTATTTTTTTAATGCATGAATTTAAAAATTTTCTGAAGAGATGAAGTGTATTTTTTTGGGTTTTATAAGTGATGAAATTTTTTGTCCCAACAATTTTTATGAAATCCATTGTCCCCTTCATCTAACATAATTGCATGTTACTATGGTTGATGATGAATATTTTTTCTTTTTTTTCTTTTAGAATTTAAAACAAAAACACCTAATACCTTTTTGCGTCTTTCTTCCTCCTCCTATCATTATTATTATTATTATTATTATTATTATTATTATTATTATTATTATTATGTATATGATAAATATATTGATCACAATAAATAAACCTCTTACCTCACAACATTAGAGGTTGCATGAATTTATCACTAGACTACATTTACAACCACATTTTATTTCAGTTTTTTGAGTACCCTTAAACTATTTAGTAGGTGGCGGTTTAGTCTATATTATTTTAATTTTGGTAGAGCATTCCTTGAATTCTTTAATTAGGTGCAATTTACACCTTTCTGTTAACTCCCGTTAAATTCTTCACAGAAAATCGCACATGACCTCTCATGTAACCTTTTGATGCACTGAAAAGACTAAAATGACCTTTGTTGTCAATGGGATCTTAAGAATAAAGAGATTCAAATTTGGGGATTTTTTGTTTGAGTTACGGCCAAATTTTGGGTTGAAGACGACTAAAATTGGTGAAAAATGTGAGCAATTATTGTTGTTGTTGCTGCCGCCGCCGCCGCCGCACGAGATTGCTCTACTCAGGAAGAAATTAACAACACCAATAGTAGAGAAAAAGAAAGAAAACAAAAACAACGGAAAAAAATAAAAATTTGTAGATTAGTCTTTGCCGGTTTGTTGGTGAAAATGTGAGCAATTGTTGTTGTTGTGTTTACCGGATTCATCACTTGAATTCAATGAAACAAAGAAAACTGTAAAATAATGGAAAAAGAAGGAGCAGGTGTTGTGAAGAGAGAAAGGGAGATTGTGAGGGTTGGCCAATGGAAAGGTGATGACGGGTATTTTTACCAACAAATCAAGTACTTTTAAACTTGAATATTTGTAAGTTTTCAAACATTTTTGTTAGTTTAATGTCTTTTTGTGCTTTTTATAGGAATTATAAATAAATGCGAACTTGAATGATTTTACATGAAGAAAAGAAGAATATTTGCCCAACTTGTGAATCAATGGCAAGAGGAGGCGAAAGAGGATTTTAAGATACAAAAAAGGAGGCTTTGGAATGCAAGAAAGCGGGCTACAACACACCTTTTTTGGGCTGCAGCGCGTAAAGGAAAGTAGAGAAGACCATAGAGCAAGAAAATATCAAGCTGCAGTGCCAAAATTGCGCTGCAGCGCATCCAGGAGAGCCCAGGCGCGTTGCAGCGTGCCCAAAGGCCACTGCAGCACGCCTCAGCCTCATGCAGCGAAATTTTGTTTCCAAAAATGCACGCTGCAGTGCGTTTTCACGCAGGCTGCAGCGCGCGTCTGAAGCCTTAGCTCCGAAACTAAGTAGTATAAAAGAAAAGAGATGCCACTTGAGAGAGGGGCCGGAAACTCAAGAAAACATCAAAATGAGGCCGAAAATCTTTCATCTTGGAGGTCATTGGGAAGCTCTTCAATAGATTTTGGGTTTTATCTTCTTTCATCTATTTTTCCATGTTGAGATAGACATTAGATCTAGGACTTGATGTAATTTTATTTGAACTATGTTTTGAATATTTTGTTAATTGTTAATTTAATTTTCAATTCATTTATGTTTCTCTATGCTTAATGCTTCTAATTTATTTGGCCAATGAGTTAGATGATTTTTAGATTGTGAATTTGATGCTCGGGAGAGATTGAGTTCTTTATCTAAATTTGAGAAATATAGTCTAGATTGTTGTGAGACCGGGAGGAGATCAACGTTTAGATAATCAAATTAGGATTTAGGTCGTTGTGAGGCCGGGAGGCGATCAATATTCTTATTTTCTAATTCTAAAGGCGAAACTTAATTTGTGTTTAAATATTTATTTTGAATAAGGATATTGTTTTGGGTATTTAAATATAATTCATTGTGAGGCACTCGGGAGAGGTTGCGAGATGATATTAGAGCATTGATTAATGAATTGAATGTAATTGATTAGCGATTACATAATAGGATGAACATAGGAATAATAAAGATCAAGTTCCTAGACCATTTGTGTATAAATACTTTATTTTTATTTTTATATTTATTTTTTTTTTCTTAATTATTATTTTATTAGGTTGCCTAGATAAAGTTAAGTTACGATAATCGCGGTACTTAACGGTAATTTTAAACTCAATCTCTGTGGAGACGATACTCACTCACCTTATACTCAAAACTTGACACCGTACGCTTGCGGAAATAAATTTACAAAAAATTGCGTATCAAAAGGCAACATGAAAGATATATCCCACTTGGTTCTTTTTTTGCATGTTTTCCACTGGTAGTTTTTCTATCGCAGATTCAAAACAACCCCAGAAAGCAAACGAAAAAAAAAAAAAAACCCCAGAGATCTTTCGAATATCTTCTTCTCCTCATTCATCTTTGTTCTTTGGTGTTATTTTATTTATGTTTTAAAAAAGAGTCCTCTTCTTTGATTTTTTTTTTAAAAGACTAGTTGTTGATCTTCATTGTTATGGCAAACCGGAATAAAAACATTATGGTCATGTTTTGTGACATGTACGGCCATGTTTTGTCTATTGATAAATAACTTAGAGTTTTTTCGTAGGATAAAAAAAAATGAACTATCGATAAATCTTTATTTTCAATTGTCAGATATGTATCAGAAATTATTCATTCTGCATAATTTTTTAATCTAATATAATTTTAATCAGATTTAACAGTTAAAAATTGACCCTATTAGTAGGAAAGCCCTATGAAAAAAAGTTCCTATTGGGCTAGTTTATATTTTTATACAAAAAAAATCAATGAATGGGTGTTTTAGGAAAAATGCATGTTTCGTTATTTTTCTAAAAAAATCCCGTGTTTCTTGAAATAACAATTCACTTTTGTAACATATTTCTTATAGATTACACTTTTTTTCTTTTTATCAAAGTAAACCGATAACAATTTCAGATCTGAGCATTCTTTTTCCAAAAGGATATATATGTAGGATTTCTTGTTTTTTTTTTTTCAAGGTTTATTTTGATGCGAAATTAGCTATTGTTCCTTTTTAGAAGTATTATGTAAAAATTATCTGAGTTTGAATAGATGAAAAAAAGGCT